TATAGTCCTCTGCTTTTTTGTTGAAGATCCTCAGTTTCTCCTGCCTGATGGAAGGTTGATTCAATTAGCATCTTTTGGATGCCCAGGAGCTGCCAAAAACCGAACAGAACCCAGTGGTTTAGGGTAACTTCAAAAAGCTTGGAGTACCACAGGCAACAAGAAGAGGAACAGCCACAAGCTTCTGAAAAAAATTTAGTGAATTTCTGCAATTGGTACATTACTACATGCAGAAACCCAAGTAAGTAGCATCCCCGTAAAAGATCTAAAAGATCACAGACCCTGTAGCCAGGCCGATTGTGAAGATCATTCTAAGACGCTAGTGAAGACTTGAGGAGGTGATCATTTCCTCAGATAGAGAAATCGCAACAACAACCACATTAGTAAGGCACACAAATAAACAGGAGACCTTGGCCTCTCACTCTCAACAAAGAAAAACCAAAACTAAATTATAAGGAAGCAATAACTACAAGAACCACATCATCACTGTCACTACTTCTGCTCAGTATATTAACAGAAGTTTTATTGACAGCAATAAAAATAGTCACCTAAATTGGAGAGGAAAAAGTAAAATGATCTGTTTGCAGATTAGACAAAGCTGTTTATATTTAAAGACATCTAGCAATGTTGCAAAACAGAAAATCAACATCCAAAAATCACTTGTGCTTGATATACTAAAAATGAACAGTATGTAAAGGAAGTTAAGAAAGCATTCCCATTTTCAATTGACATAGTATAAAAAAGAAGAAAGTATATGGAAATACCTAAATCCAGCAGGTGAAAAATTTCTACACTGAAATCTAAAACATTCCTAAAAGAAATCAAAGACAGTATAATTAAATGAAAAGAAATACCATGTTCATGTATTGGAAGATATAATACGGTTGAAATGTTCATTCTGCCCAAAGCAATCTGCAGATTCAATGCAATCAAAATCCTAATGATATTTTTGCAGAAATTGGAAGAACATCTCAAAATTCATATGGAATGTCATAGGATCACATGTAGCCAAAATGATCTTAAGAAAGAGAAACAATACTGGAGCCTTCATACATTCTGGTTTCAAAACATATTACAAAACCAGTGTAATCAAACAGCCTGATATTGGCATAAAGGCAGAGATATGTAGATCAATTGAACAGAATTGAGGCCAGAATTAAAACCTCATGTATACAATAAAATGATCTTTGATAAGGGAGCCAGGACTACAAAATTGGTTAAAGATAATTTCTTCAATAAATGG